CTCCTAGTTCCACCAGTCGGCATTCTTTGGCTTACCGAATCTGTAGTACAGGGATGTCAAACTTATTTCATTGAGGGCCGCATCAGGGTTGTGTTTGACCTCAGAGGGCCAGGGTGGGCGTGACCAGCTTGACGTCACTCATGTCGGGGGCACCTGTGGTGGCCTGAACATTCTGCCAGTAAAAACGGGCTCCTAAGCTCAGTTTTTGGATGGGATGGCCTCCTGCAACCCTCTGCCAGCGAAAAGGGAGCATGTGGCCTTCCTGAGCTCTGTTTTTGGCTAGGATGACCTCCTGCAACTCTCTGCCAGTGAAAAGGGAGCATGTGGCCTTCCTGAGCTCTGTTTTTGGCTAGGATGGCCTCCTGCAACTCTCTGCCAGAGAAAAGGGAGCATGCGGCCCTCCTGAGCTCCATTTTTGTTGGCAGAGGCACCGCGGGCCGGTACTTGGCTGTTTCCAGGGCGGCTCCATGGGCCAGATAAGCACTCCGCGGGCTGGATCCCTTGAGTTTGACATCCCTGCTGTAGTATGTCCAATCTGTTGGATCTAATTGGACAGGTAGAAACTCTTGGAAAAAGACATTCCCTCAGATAATCCAGTCCCAAGCCATGAATGAATTGTAAATTCATACTGATAAACAGTATGTGAGAAAAGTTATCATGCTAACCTGTCCAATTATAGCTCCTTTTTGGGAGTCTGGATAGTTGTATCAAATGGAGACTACAGAGATGAAATCCTCTTCAAACCGACTCAAAACAAAACAAAACAAACTTTCTTTAATAGAACTGCATTTCACCTCTGATACTATTTTGTTACAAGAAAAAACCTTTCAAAGTAGACAATGTTGTACATATTACAAAAGCTATTTTCCAATTTACATTTTTAGAGACCAGGGAACTGACCAGAAAGTATATATTATGGTATGAAAATGATGGAAGAAATATATTATTCTTTTGGCCAAAAGTCTGAAATGTTTTAATACTCTAATGAAATTAGTGGAAAGTAAAATATCTTCCCAGGGCAGCAAAACAATAATTATTCTTGTTTGTGGCGGCATGCTACTTTTCCTGTTTCAGTATCTAAAGAAACTTTCAAAAGAAAGATATAGGCCAGCATATTCTTTCTGTCTTTTGTAAAGCAATACATATTAAAAAGTAGCTTCCTATCTTTTCTATTTTGCAAGGCCAAAGAGAAAGACTAGGTCCGTGATGGTGAACAGGTGGCACACAGAGCCCTCTCTGCTGGCACGCGTGCTGTCGTCCCAGGTCAGATCTCTGTGGTGTTTATTTCGTGAGCTTCTGTTTCCCTGCAAATAATGAAACAGAAGCTCACGAAAGAAAAAGATCTTAACTCTTGCTGTGCTGCCTGTGTTGGGATGTCCCGCCTCCCACCTGGACTTCGGGTCTCTGCTACACATGCGCGCATGTCCACACATTCACGCACGTATGTCTGTGCATGTGTGCATGTCCACACACGCATTTGCGAGTGCGCACACCTTTCAGTTTGGGCACTCGTTGTCTAAAAGGTTTGCCATCACTGGACTAGGTGGAAGAAAAAGTCTTTAAAAGAATGAAGGGAAACAAGCATTATTTTCCCGCCAGCAGATGGCATCCAAAGCACATACTTGAAAGATTGTTACTCAGATTAGGAATGCTAGAAATTTCATTAACTGCATTTTGGAAGCTTGCGCAAATTTTAGCACAATTATAAACATAATATTCCATATTATGCAAAAAAGAAACATCTACATTATGCTTTTGAATTGTTACTAAATTAACCATTTGTCTTTAGTTTCTTTTTTTCATTGGTAGTTTTAAAACTATACAAATTTTAACCTTTATATTATAACACTTCCTCTTTTAAACTATCATCAACATCATTGCCAGAATTACATACAGGTAGTCCTCGATTTACAACAATTCATATAGTGACCGTTTAAAGTTGCAGTGGCACTGAACAAAGTGACTTATGACCATTTTTCACACTTACAACCATTGCAGCATCCCCATGGTCATGTGATCAAAATTCAGTCACTTGGCAACGGACTCATATTTATAATTGCTGAAGTGTCCTGGGGTCATGTGATCCCCTTTTGCAACTTTCTGACAAGCCAAGTCAATGGGGAAGCCAGATTCACTTAACAATGTTACTAATTTAACAACTACAGTGATTCATTTAACAAATGTGACAAGAAAAGTTGTAAAATGGGGCAAAACTCATTTAACAATTGTCTTGCTAAGCAACATAAATTTTGAGCTCCATTGTGGTTGTAAATTGAGGACTATGTGTAATGATTAACTTCTTCCTCATTATGAGAAAAGGGAGAGATTGAAAGAAGTGACTGATTTTAAATCATAACAGAAACAAAACTGTTCAATCACAAGCTAAAACTAAAAGTGGGCACCCCAAAACAGTATGTACAGAAAGATCAGAGAGGAAAAAAACAGTAATTGAATTTCAGAGGGTTCTAGGATGAAGAGATAATTAGAAAGCGAAGTACAGATTTTAGAAAGCAACAGAATAAAAAAATAGAAAAGCGGATAACTGAAGAAAGTCAGAATTAAGTCTAAACTAGTGCTTCCTAAACCTTTTGCCTCATTATTCAAAATTGCTTATTGGAATGTTCTTTTTACAGCTTATCAAAGAAGTCCTTATTTAAATGTCCCTGTTTCGACTGAGTAATGAGTTTGTGTGTTGTTACCCAAAGAAAAAACACTTTCACCCAACTTTGGATAATTTACTCAGAGTTTGAGATGCTCTGGTCTAATTTATGTGAATTCTAATTTTAATTAAATTAGGTTTTATAGAATTTGTTTGAAATGTATGAAACTTATAGAACGTATTTTTGTAATATTCAGTTGTATCCACTAGAGGGTAAATATAATTTTTCAAGTTATTTTCTACATGAAAAATTAGGGCCTTACATAAACTAGTATATATACAACACAAATATACAACTACATTAAGAAAACACTTGCATGAGGTGATATTATAAGCAGCTACTATATGCTGGTTTGTTTTATATGAATAGAAGTTATTATTTACAAATATTTTGCACGTTTTACAAAACAGATACTGCCGAGGTAATAAAGCATTGATTAAAACTCAGCTTGATACAAAGCAAGAAGGAACTGAAGACCAAATTATATGAACATACGAATTATATGAAGGTACTGGCTATGTTCAGCTTGAAGAAAATTGCAGTAAAATTAACATTCAAATATCTGAAAATACTGTAGCTATGAAGTACAGCAACTTTGTTTTCTGTTATTTCAAAGAGAAGAATGAAAATACAGTTTAATTTTAAAAGTTTACAAGAAAGAATTTAGAGATGAAATACTAGGAAAATTTCCTGATAGTACAAAGAAAGCAGTTGAGAATGAAAAAGGTTGTCAATGAAAGTCATTCACTAGTGCCTTTTTGATGGCTCTTCTGTCAAGTGCTAATCTGTAGTGTATTTCTTGATTGCTGATTCATTTACTATTAATGGTTGATCCCAAAAGCTACCAATATCTACACTGTCAATACATACCATTGAATAGTTTACTATTTGCATAATTTAATCATTTTAATCAATTGTATTGAGCTATCTCATTTAGTATGATTTAAATAGATGATGATTTTATATATCTTTCTATGACTTGTCCCTAGTTCACCAATACATTTTAAATTGATATTCCTTTTGGTTCCAAAAGGAATTGATTTACTTGTTACCTTCCATTAGCTTGCTTAAGAAACTCATCAAAAACTCATCAAGGGATCGGTTTTTTTCACAGAATCTATTAGAGGAAGATGGTTATTAATAGTGACAAATGGCTATCAGGGATGCCAAGCAGACAATTTCCTGCACTGGCTTAGAGTAACCTAGCTTTATCTGACATCAGCTCCTTAAAGAAGGTCAAACTGTTCCATCACATCTTCTGCTACAATTGAGCTAACTTCTACTTTAGGGAAATGAGATTGAAACACAGGATTCAAGTCTATCTTTAGTCACAGAACTCCAAGTGACTGTGACCTAGTCACTCTCTCTCAGTCTAACCTACTTTACAACAAGCACTTATATATCAAGAACACCTACACATCCAAAAGATGTAAATATACTGTAGAGACTTTATGGATATGGGTTTACTGTTAAAATTATGGAGTGGTAACTTCACTGATTACAAAATGCGCTTTCAGAGGAATGGGAGTATTTAATAGGCAAATTGAGACATAAGGAATGTGCCCTTGCAACTCACAGTGGCCCCATGGTTAAGTTTTATCTTTATCCAATCACTGAATTTCAAGATGCAAATGTTTCTTTTAAGACTGTTGTCCTATGTAGATAACAGAAGGGCAGAAAGTAAACTGAGATCTATTACACTAACACTCATGAACATGTAGGCATGTTCATTTCCCCCTCCATTCTGAAATGTATAAAAGAATGCATCTTTTTGTCTGCAGGGGTGTGTCTCTCACTATTGTTTTAAAGAAGACCCTCTCCAGTAAGTACTATCTAATAAACACTACAGTGAGCTTGATTATTTGCTTTGGGTCCTGTTTTGATTCTACAGAAACTGACATCAGAAAATTCACAACCTTCAAGCTTCAACCAGATGACAACAGGGCGCCGTATAGGGTGAGTGTTGTGGTGAGTTTGATCTCATGTCCCTTCCTGCTGCCAAATGAGGGCACCATTTAGAAGTGTGTGTAAGGTAACCGTCTATGCCTAAAAGTCTAAGGAAGTTTGTTGGATGAGCATTGTAAACCGCCCTGAGTCTCCGGAGAAGGGCGGCATTATAAATAAATAATTTTTTTTAAAAAAGTGTGACCCTCCTAATTTTCAGCTGCCACTGGCCCTGCTGCGAACTCAATTTATTTTCCCCACAAAAGCATAAACCATCCTTAACACATTCCTGTCTTCAGTGTACATCTATGAAGTTATTACTTTATTTATTTGGTAAATTATATAGCTGCCCATCTCACATTCCTTACTTATTGTTGCTCAAAGTGCATTACTTACATTTGGTCTGTGCAGTTGAGAAACGAAGTGTTAGCTTGGCAAAAAGATCATCACTCTCATAACGATCCTCCTTAGCTTTCACCCAGAAACAGCCTTCAGATAATTCCTGTACTGTAATCTGTAAAGGTTACATATAACATGGCATAATCCCTATAAATACCATTGCAGATTCCTATTGCAGTTTAAGTGTCCTGTACATATTTTAAGCATAAAGACCATATGCCTGTTAGAAAACATGTTATTTATTTGTTCATAAGCTTTTATGAAGCAAAAATCATTTCATAAATAGTGTTAGTCTGGAGATAATATTGCTGAATTACATTTATCAATTTGTGGGATTAATTTATTATGCATTTTTCATATCATCATGAAATGTAAGAGGTGGCTGGCTACCTTTCTACCCATAAGAGGTCAGATAAGTGGGGCACAAATAAAAAAAGAATAATGTAATTACATGCTTAATGCTAGCTCTTATGTTGCAGAAAATAAAATAGTTCTGATTAGCAGAGACAAACATGCAAGGAAATGCATCTCAAAAACTGGCAGGCATCAAAAGATTTTAAACAGAGAAGCCAATGGAGAAAATTCCAGGGTGTATGTATTACCCAATATTCTAGCTAATGATTTTTAAACCAGAAACCTTCTGCAAGGTTTCATTCAATAACAGATACTGTAAGCCTTAAAATATTCTGGTCCTAAATTATATACGGTTAGGATATGTACAACTACATTTTCCAACTGATAAGGATATTCACAAAATATCTAAAAGTTTAAAAAACTTAAGACCACAATAACTGTGCTGTTTAAAATTCATACATTGAATTTTATTTCTAAAAAATTAAAAGCAGTATTAAATATCAAAAGAAATTTTTCATCATTTTAAAAGATTATACATAGAGGTAAATTGACACATTTATTAAGTATCAAGAATACATCCAACTTTATATCTCATAAAATTCTGCAAAATGAATTAGTTCTGCAACAACCAGTAAATAATCTTTTCTAGTCCTCAGCATTCAAAATCTTGAACACAGAGTAATTAACGGGAAAAAGCACTGGTAGACTGAGGAGCTTGAAAAAGGAAAAGGAAACATTGACAATGGGTAAAATATATCTAATTATCAATTACAAGAAATCACCTTGGACCAGTTAGTTCTCCTAAGCTGAACTTCTGGTTTGTAAACCTTCTTGGGAGGCAATCCAAATGGAAGAATTGGGGCTGACATAATTCCAAAACCAGATAGAGTAGGAGGTGGTGGCGGCATTGGTATCCCAAACTGATGTGGAGGGGGCAGCCCTGACATCCCAGGTAGAGGTGGTGGGGGAGGGGGTAATCCTGGCATACCAGGCAGAGGTGGTGGGGGAGGGGGCAACCCTGGCATACCGGGCAGAGGTGGTGGGGGAGGGGGGAACCCTGGCATACCGGGCAGAGGTGGTGGGGGAGGGGGTAATCCTGGCATACCAGGCAGAGGTGGTGGGGGAGGGGGCAACCCTGGCACACCGGGCAGAGGTGGTGGAGGAGGGGGCAATCCTGGCATACCGGGTAGAAGTGGTGGGGGAGGGGACAACCCCGGTATCCCAGGTAGAGGTGGTGGGGAAAGTGGCAACCCTGGAATCCCAGGTAGAGGTAGGGGAGGGGGTGGGGGAGGTGGTAATCTCAGCATCCCAGGCAAAGGTGGGGGAGGAGGCCCTGACATCTCAGGTAGAGCAGGTGGAGGGGAAACAGTTTGTGAAGAAAGGGATGAAGGGATTTGGTGACTTTCTGTCCCGGTAGGTAATGGTTGCTGTGATGGGAAACCCGTAGATGAAATGACATGCTTCATTTTCTTCTTAAGTTCTTCAAGTTCTTTGGTCAGAAGAGCAATCTTTAGAGAAAGAAGTAGAACAAATCAGACTGGAAAAGTCACATTTCTAAACCACAAAAATAAACAGACTGCCCATCTCTAAGCCATTATTCACTATTATTCACTAGGCTTAGGACCGGGGTATCTACGAGACCGTCCTCTGCCACCAGTGGCCTCTCACCGACCAGTACGCTCCCATAGAGAGGGGCTCCTCAGGGTGCCGTCGGCCAAACAATGTCGACTGGCGGCCCCCAGGGGGAGAGCCTTCTCTATGGGGGCACCTGCCATCTGGAACGAGCTCCCCCCGGAGATACGGAGGATCCCGGACCTGTGCGCTTTCTGCTGTGCCATCAAAACATTTCTTTTCCAGCAGGCTGGCCTGGCCTAACCTCTCTTTTAAACTTTTTTAAAAATTTTTAAATTTGTCCTATGAATTGGGGTGTTTTAAATTTCATTTTTCGGGCCAATTATTTAATTGTATTTTAATGGGTTTTTTAACATTTGTATTATATGTATTTTATTTGACTGTTCACCACCCTGAGTCCTTCGAGAGTAGGGCGGTATACAAATTCAATAAATAACAACAACAACAACAACAACAACAACAACAACTACCCTGTTGATATTTCCTTTACTCCTTTGGGGTTTTGAGATTGCTCTTTGTGTAACCCAATGCAACAGATACAAGAATAGGCAGATCACACTGAATTGGTAGTCTTATTCTGATTTAGGGCTGTGTGATTCCTGCACAAGAGATCCTTTGGAACACAGCTTTCTGAATGGTCAAAGCAGGACTTTTTTCCAGGCTTACAAAGCTACTCTGGAAGCTGATCATGGTTTTTCTGAACCAAGCATGAACAATACAGAACAAAGTGGCTGTGCAAGCAAAGTGTGAGGAGACACTGTGTAAACTGGTTAGCGCCCACAATGGAAAAAGACAAACCTATTATATGATTCAAAAAGTACTCTATTAATGTTCCTAAAGCATGCTTGGTTCAGAAAATCTTTTTTTCAGATTGTAACACATTGCACATCTGATTTAACATTTCAACCTAACCCAGTTGTAGATGGTTAGTATGTGGGGCTCTCAATGTTTCTGCCCTAAGAGATACAATTAGGATTTTCAGAGTAAATTATAGGTATTTTCACAAAACAGCTGCCATGATGAAAGTAGAAATTGGAAAGATTGCTTTTTACTACTACTTCAACTTTTTATCATGTCAGCTTACTTTCCAATTTTTTAAGGATGTGCAAATTTCCAGAAAAAGCATGCTGTAGTGGGCAACTATCATTTTATTTTCTAAAAATAATTCTGGAGGTCACAGGGAGACCAAATTATTGTTGCCAGCAGAACTTATGGTAGAAAAAAAGCTTTGAACACAGCCAGACTGGCACTATAGGAGATGCTGTCAGACATACTGCAATGCATTGGACCACACCAGTAACCCAGGGTTTATTATAGGGCGCTCATATTTCTCAACTAGCAACTTGTTATATTTGCTATAAACTGTCAAGACATAATTGGATGTGGTGGGATATAAATCCATAAATAAATGATCTGCTTCAATCCCAGAATTTATATCCAATTCATTTTATTCACAAAGAACAAAACAAATGTTTTACATCATGCCACCAACTATCCTGACTCCCTCTCTTGAACATCATAATAAAAGGGATGTCATATAGTGTGGAATAGCAACATTTACATGCATCCATTAACATCCCAATATCCTAAAATTTTACAGTACAGCTTTTGATGTCCCATTACCCATTCTTTCTCCAAGAAAATAGCAATATTTCTTCTTCCATTTTATGATTCTTGAGACTTAGGACTTAAACATTAAATGGCACGTTTCTCTAATGTAATCAGTTTATTTATACCATTGCTCATTACCTCATCATTCAACAAAGAGCTATTAATTTCTAAGTTTTGCTTCTCTGAGGTAATACGCTGTTTCTCAGCTGCCACTGTTTCTTTCTCCTGAAGTAAATTTTGAATTTTTTCCTCAAAATCACTTTCCTTCTTCTTCATTTCAACTTGTAATTCATGACGTGCAGTCAACTCAGATTCCAGCTGAAAGAAAGAATTATGCACAATAATCATGCCAATATACTCCATATGCCATATTGGTTAAATCTCAAGCGAGATAATATTTTCCTTCTTGGGGAGTACAACAGACAATGCTGATTAGATGACAAGGAGATAAAATTTAATACTACTAAATATGAAAACATTTCAGCAGAGTATGCGTTAATTAGTTTGTCATAATCCAGGTCAAAAATGAAATTATTAAATAAAAGGAAGTTTTACATGTAATAACAAAACCATTATTATAAAATTCTGAAATATACAGTAATCTTTTAAGAAAAATAGTAAAGAAAAATGTTCCAATGTTTGTGTTTTCTGTGTTACATTTTACTTTGGTGAACATTTTAAAGATAAGCCAATTTTATACTGTCTTTGTAAAAAAAAGCAGAATATAGCTTTTAATATAGATGGATGAATGAATGAGTGACATTTTCAGAGCACTGGCAGTTCTAAACCCTGGACAAAAAGAAGATGAGGTAACTTGTATTAGTATAAGTGCAACATGCTAGGAAAGCAAATGAAATTCTTAAGTGATGCTGACATATCAGGTCACTATTCTATGTAGCTTGGTTTTATCTTGGTCAGCCGTGATTTACCAGAAATCCTTCCCTCTTCTGCTATTCAAGGTCCTTTTACTTGAGGTGACAAGGACTGAATCAGAACCTTTTGCAAATCTCTCTTGGCTGTAGGATTTGTTTTTTCTTTTTAGTTGATACATTTAAAATTAATTTCTTTAATAAATTAATATCTCTTCTTGATTCCTAATACAATTTTCTTATAAGATAAGATATTCAGAATGATGTGTGAACAATTACCCCTGGTCTATAAAGTCTAGATTTAATGATAGTTTTCCACTTTATCAATGAAGAACAATGTTGTTTCCTTCTATCAATAAGTACAAGGGTCCCCAACTCCCGGACCACAGCCAGTTCGGAACAGGGCCACACAAGCGGCGGCCTGGTTCCGAACTGGCAGTCATGATGCAAGAAACTCCACTCACGAGTGGTGAGTGCTTGCGCCCATGTGCGCAGCCCCTCACAAATGCAACTCCACTTGCACAAGTGGCGGGATTTCACACGTGAAGCTCCACTTGTGCCAACGCCAGGCACTTGCACTCGTGCTATTGTAGTTGTACGTGCTCATGCATACACACCTGCCACTCACAGGGAACCATCCCCCCCCATGCTGGGCCACCAAGCCGCAAAGGCTAGGGATCACTGAATTAAAAGTACTGAACTGTTGCTGCCACCTGCCTTTTCTGGCATTAAATATACAAGTAAATTTGGTAGGACTTGGTCTATATACTGTTAAATGTTTGCTAGCAATAGTAAAAATCCTCTAGCAAATTAAAAATATACAGGATGATGTGTATTTAAGATTAATACATGAATTATACATATAACCTACTTTAGAATGTTTAAGCTTATACATATTTTTCTTTTCAAATGCACCACGATGAGAAATAGAAAAAATAAACCTGTTTATAAATATATAGTTAGTTAATTCAGAAATGTTAAAAATAAAGGACAATGAAAATAAAAGTTTATGATAGCATGCTACTCAGTGAAAACTTTGGCATACCACTTCCTATTTGGGGAATGACTTTTATGGCACCCCATGAAAAAACAGTATTGCAGCAATGTTCTAACTGTTATTGCTGTTATTGCTGCAGAATTTTAAAAAAAGAATGTACTTCTGAAGATGAAACCAGTATCAATACAGACCTGTAATGTTTGGGAGAAAGCCAAGGGAATACTCCTCTTGCATACTTATAAATACTTCTCCTCTTTGCATACTTATAAATAGTAGTCTATGAGTACTAAAGAACAGAGGCATCAAGAAAAAAGAACTCAACAGAAATAAACAGCAAAGGAGTTTTTTTAAAAAATGAAGATATTTAAAAACACAAAAGTAAATTTAAACTGTTCTGAGTAAGGAAAAAGCCAGTAAAATAAAGGAAGAATAAAGTAAAGAAATAAAGAAATAAAGAAAAAAATATGATTGTAACCTTCTTCTCCAATTCCAGGGTTTTAGCTTCACTTTTTGCCACCTTAGTTTGATCAATGAAATTATCTACAGGGAAAAAAAACCAAAGTAAGAATACTGTGAGAAAAATTCCCCTTTACACTAAGCAACCCTATAGAATAGAGGTGCATACTTTTGGGGAAGGAGTGGGCTTTTTCATTCTTTGAGTGGCATCCTCAGGTTGTGCAATTGTATAGACGTAGGGGAAAAACTGAACTGGATTTTATTTTATTTATATTTAATTTAAATTTAGTGAATGTAGTTAATTTCTGGCCACCTATTTAATTATTAATTGCATCACATTTATACTGTACTTAGCTGCAGGTGTAAATGCTATAGCAATTACCAAACTAAAAATTATAATTTACTACTGAAATCTTTGAAAGCCACACTCAAAGCTTTCAGGAGGCAAATATAGGTCGGAGCACAGCTCTATTGTAAAGCCTTACTCAAGGTTATGCATTGCTTTGTTACGTCCTGTTGTGGCCCACCAGCGGCCTACATGGATTGCTGCTGATCCCGATTATGAGGAGGCTGGTGTGGTGTTGCGCCAGCAGCCTGTGCAGCCGGCGCTCGAGTCGGACAGCGAGGAGGCTGAAGAAGATGTGGTGCCAGAGGCAGGGATTCAGCCAGGGCCTTCAGAACCTCCAGAGGCTGCTTTAAGTGAAGAGGATGAAGTGGAGGAGCCTCTTCTCAATGCACAAGCACACAGAGCTGCCAAAAGACAGGAGTGGTTACTCAGGAGGAGGTCTCCTCAAGAGTAAGGCTTGGGGCTAATTGGCCACTCCCTTAGCCTATTTAAGTTTGCACACAGCTTGTAAAAAACTGCAGGAAACAACGTGTGTTCGCTGATCATTGAGTTTGAATTTTCTCTGCAAACCTGGCTTCTGGGCTTTCTGCCAACTCTAGTAAGACTCTATCTTATCTGTGGAATTTCTGGCAGGTTGTTAAGAATGTTTTATTAATAGCCTGCATTTGCAAAAAGACTGTGTTTTGAAGTAAACTGAGTTTTGTTCGGAGTTTGTGTGCTACATTCTTTGGGATCCGTAGCTGGGGCAGAACACGTCCTTGATTTACCAGACATAGCTGAATATGTACATATCTGTCTTTCACTCATGTCTTTTACTTTTCACTCATGTAACAGATCAGAAATAGATCATTTCTTGTGTCTCAGTATAACTGAAAGAGCAAAAAATGTCATGCTGGAGAGGTTTTCACCATGAAATAAAAGTACAATTGTGGCAATGCTTTCAATAGATTGTAGGTACTTTGAGTAAACAGTAAGAAGTATTCTGCAATCTTTATTCTTTAAAAAAATCTAATATACTAATATATTAAAAATCTAATCAATTAATATACTTAAGCTGAGTGATTTAGTTTTTACAATGGGACAAAAAATGATACAAATATATTCACTTTCTGTCAGCTCATATAATAGTAACAAACAGAAAAATACATTTTTCCTGGACAATTAGCAAAATAAATATAGCTATCAGTGGCATCAGACTCACCTATTAAGGCCTCAACATTAAAGTCAAAGTGTTTGCGCTTAAAGTCTGGGTCAGCCCCATTCCTGAACAGAACTATCTGTGAAATGCATTCATCGATTAGTTTAAAATATTGAGGCCTAAGGCAAGAACAGATATTAAAAAAAAGATATTAGTGCTGATAATCAGAAGTAAAGCTTCCTACTCAAAAAAGTATGTACCGTGTTTCCTCAAAAATAAGACCCAGTCTTATTTTCTTTTAGGCCCTGAAATAAACACTAGGGCTTATTTTCAGGGATTGTCTTATTTCTTTTGAGTGCCATTGCCACGAGGTGGGGAGGTGGAGATACCCAATGCACACACCAGCTTACCTGAGGGCCCCTGTGGCTCCATGCCCCGACAACTGGCTTGCAGCGGCAGCACCAACAAACATGTGCAGCAAGAGCCCATGGGACCACAGCCCCCCTTCTTCCAGCACCATACTCGCTGGTGCTGCAGCCACGAGGCAAGCCGGGGAGGGGGTGGAGGATAAGGAAAGGTAGGGGAGGGGGTGGAGCTGCCACATGCGCATGCTGACTTACCTCAGGCCCCGCGCAACCAGGCCACACACCCCTAACACTAACTCACAATCCCTAACCCTAGCCCTAACCCCAGAGCAAATTGCCTTTGTATAATCAAGCCCTGGAAGATTATGGGAAGCATGTGTTTAGAAGCAATGTGCAGCCTCTTTCAGTAATGAGAATTGCAGGAAATGCTGTCCCTTTCAAACAATCTTCCAGGGCTTGAACGCCACACTTTCAGCTTGATTTCCCACCCCACCCCCGCCAGGCTAGTCTGGTGGGCAGGATTGCCTTCTGCCTTCCCCACTGCTGTGGTCAGCAACCACAGGAGGTGGTCAGGAGGATTTTGCATTAACCTTCCCCTGGATTGGGGAGGGAATGGAGATTTTACAGTATCCTTCCCCTGCCATGCCCACCAAGCCACACCCCAGAATCGGTAGTTTTTTTTATTGAAAAGTTTTTAAAAGTTTTACAAACGTTTCCCCTTCCCCCTCCCTCCTCCCCTTCCAACCCTCCCCTCCCCTTCCCCTCCCTCCCCCCCCCCACTTCCCAGAGCAAAATACAGGGTATAACATTTGACAACCATAAACTAACATAAGCTAATTATCTATAACCTCCTATCCCCCTCTTGAACTTTTAACTCCCCTTTTACTAAACTAAATTTAAGTACTTTATAAAATCTCTTTGATCATTCATAAGCTTTTGAAATTTTTTAGTCCGATATTTGCCTTGAATATAATCAATCCATCTTCTCCATTCTAACATATATTTCTCATTTGGATGGTCCTTTAGATATGCTGAAATTTTCGCCATTTCTGCTAAATTTACTACTTTTAGTGTCCATTCTTGAATAGTAGGTAAATCTTCTTTCTTCCAGTACTGCGCCACAAAGAGTCTTGCTGCAGTTATTAGGTTCAAAATCAAATTAGTCTCTATAGCCATACAATCTGTAATTATACCTAACAAAAACAACTGTGGAGTAAACTTTATCCTTTTTTAAAAAATATTTTAAATAATCCACCATATTTTTATCCAAAATGCTTTAACTTTTTTACAAGTCCACCAAACATGAAAATAAGTAGCATCAACACAATCACATCTCCAATATTTGGGTTGTAGGTTTGGGTACATACAAGCTAACTTTTTGGGATCCAAATGCCATCTATAAAACATTTTATAAAAATTTTCTCTCAAATTTTGGGCTTGTGTAAATTTTACATTTCTTACCCAGATCCTTTCCCATGTTTCCATCATTATTGGTTCCTCAAAATTTTGTGCCCATTTTATCATACAATCTTTAACTAACTCTGTCTCCAAGTCTATTTCTATCAATATATTATACAACCTTTTTATGTGCATTTGACTCTGGTCCCTAATTTGTTTTATCAAATTTTCTTCACTTTGTGTAATACCAATTTTCTGATCTTTTTTCCATCTATTCTGCAGCTGTACGTACTGAAACCAGGTTTGAATTGCCCTTTCCTCTCTTAATACATTCAAAGACTTTAACTGTAGTACATTTCTTTCTGTAATCAGAAGTTCTATATAAGTAATTACATCCTGTCTTTGTTCTATACTTATATTTTCTATTGCATGTCTGGGTACTACCCACATGGGTATCTTGCCATTCAATTTATATTGGTATTTTTTCCAAACACGCAGGAGAGCATTCCTTAATATGTGACTTTTGAAAGTCCTATCCACCTTCTTCTCATAAACTAAGTAGGCATGCCAACCATATAGCAAATCATACCCTTCAATATTCAATATTCTTTCATCTGTTAAATTAATCCAGTCACTAATTGCTGACAAAGCAGCTGCTTCAGAGTACAATTTTAGATTGGGCAATTTCAAACCTCCTCTTTCACGTATATCCTGCATTATTTTTAATTTGACTCTCGGTCTCTTCCCTACCCAAACAAAGTTATTAATGCCTTTCTGCCATTCCTCCAAATTTGCATCCTTTTTAAGTATTGGTATCATTTGAAAGAGAAATAGAAACTTGGGCAAAACATTCATTTTAACTACTGCTATTCTTCCCAACAAAGACAGTTGTAATTTTTTCCATTTATCCATCTGTATCTGTATTTTATGCCATAACAATTCATAATTATACTTGTATAATTTCCCATTTGACATTGCAATAAAGATTCCTAAGTACTTAACCTTTTTCACTATCTCGCATCCTGTTACTCTTTCCAATTCTTCTTTTTGATTTATATTCATATTCTTAGCTATCATCTTTGTTTTCCCTGTATTTATTTTAAACCCTGACACTTGACTATATTGCCTAATTATATCCATCAAACCTGTAGCTGAATTTACTGGTTGGGTTAAAGTTACTATCAAATCATCTGCAAATACTCGTAATCTATAATCATGTTGCCTGATCTTAATACCCTGTATGTTATCCGAGTCCCGTATTTTATTCAGCAATACTTCCAAAGTTAAAATAAACAATAATGGAGACAAGGGACATCCCTGTCTTGTTCCTTTCTCAATTTTAAAAGTTTCTGTGAGATTACCATTAACTATTATTTGTGCTGTTTGTTTCTGGTACATTGCCTTAATAGATTGTATGAAATGCTCTCCCAACTGCATCTTTTGTGCTACTTTCACTAAAAACTGCCAATTCAATCGATCAAACGCTTTCTCTGCATCCAAAAATATAAGCACTGCATGGACTTGGTTGTTCTTCCCCAAATACTCCAGTATATTAACAATTTGTCTTACATTACTTTTCATTTGTCTCCCTTGTATAAATCCAGTTTGATCTTTATGAATCACTTGTCGCATAACTGACATTAATCTATTTGCCAAATTTTTTGCGAAGATTTTATAATCTGTATTAAGCAATGATATGGGTCTGTAATTTTTGGGTTGACTATGATCTTGATCTTCTTTTGGAATCAGGGAAATAAAAGCTGTTCTCCAGGATGGTGGCACCTCTCCTCCCCATTGTATTTTAGCAAATAACTCCTTAAGAGGTTCTACCATTTCTAATTGAAAATTTTTATAATACACTGCTGTCAAACCATCTATACCAGGAGCCTTTCCACTTTTTAATTGCTTAATTGCCAGAAGAATTTCCTCAGTGGTTATTAATACATTCAATCTTTCCCTTTGTTCATCAGTAATTACAGGAATATTTTCCTTCTGCAAATATCTCTCTAAAAATGCTTTTTTAATCATATTCTGTTGATATACCTCTTTACCTTTATACTCTATTTTTTCTATTGTACGAGATTTTTGTTTTTTCCTTAACATATATGCTAACCACCTGCCTGGTTTATTTGCATTGCAGAAAGTATTATGTTTGGCATATTGCAAGTTCGTTGCAACTTGATCTGACATCAACATATTAAACTGTCCTCGCAATATTGTAATGGCTTCTTTTATATTCTTGTCATCTGGTTTCTCCACTAACGCCTGTTCCTTCTTTTTTATTTCCTCTTCCAATTCCCTCCGTTTTCCCCCCTGTCTACGTCTATAGGAATTATTCAAATTTATTAAGACTCCTCTCATATATGCTTTACTTGCATCCCATACCATTTCCACAGATGTACCTTTATGCATATTTAAAACAAAAAATTCTTTCATTAACTTTTTACATTCTATCACATTTGCCTCATATCGAAATAGATTTTCATTCAGCCTCCAAGATCTCCTAGACCCCTCCCCAAACTCTAATTCCATCCACACCGGATTATGGTCTGTTAAAGTTCTTGGACATATCTTCGTCTTCTTTACCCTGGAAAGAAAATCATTTGTAGTTAGTATGAAATCAATTCTAGAAAAAGATTGGTGCCTATCAGAAAAGAAAGTAAAATCCTGTTCTTTAAAATTTCGTTCACACCATATATCTCTCAACTCCATATCATCCATCATGTCAAAAAAAGATTTAGGCAATTTAGCCCGTGTTTGAATATTTGGCAAAAGAGTCTTTTTGTCTTTTTTAGTGTCCAATACACCATTCCAATCACCCATCATTAGACATGATTTGTAATCCATTTGTATTAATTTTTTATGCAGAAGTTTATAAAATTTCTCTTGTTGTTGATTAGGTGCATATACTCCTTCTAAAAGTATTTTCTTCCCTTCTATTACTAATTCAATCATTATATATCTTCCTTGTGGATCTGCTTCAATTAATTTAGCCATTAAATCTGTTCTTAGGTATATAACTATGCCATTTTTCTTCTCAGGAGCTGATGCAACAAAATGTTTGCCCAGTCTAGCATTTATTAGGTATTTCTGATCACTTGTTCTAATGTGTGTTTCTTGCAAACAAATTACATCATTTTTAAACTGTTTCAAATAATGAAATATTTTCTTCCTCTTTTGTGGTGAATTTAAGCCATTAACATTCCAGGTCAAAAATTTATTTGCCATCCTTGGCCCCTGAAAGCTTATGGAGCACCGACTGGAAGTCCTCCTGGAATTTCCTCTTCGGTCTAGCTCCTCCCACGGCTTCCATATTTGTAATTGCAATTTCTTGGGTTATTATCTGACTTAGTTGCTTCTTTAATTCTTGTTCTTTACGTCTGGTTGCTGCTCGAGTTTGTCTTTGATCCTTGGGGGTCTTCCATTTTTTCAAATAAATCCAAAAGTTGAACATCCTCTGAAAGTTGCAATAATTCTTGTTGAGTAGTCAAAACACCTCCTTGAGCTTGTGCTTGCATAATTTCCTTTTCCCCCTTTCTGGCCTCTCCTGCTTCTTTCCTTCTTCTGGCTTCTGGAGATGGTAGGTTTCCAGCCTTTAGTATAGTAGTGTAAAAATCTCTTGCCTTCCCAACTGAGTTGAGACGATGTCTCTCACCCAAATAATTCACCACTAATCCGGCTGGAGCTTCCCATCTGTACTGCAACTGACGCCTTCTAAGTTCATCAACTAAAAATGCATAGTCCTTTCAAGATCTCAACATTTTGGGGGGAATTTCCTTCATTACTGAGACCTCCTGTCCTGCCACTTGAAATTTCTTCTTATAAGAAACTTGTAGAACTCTGTTTCTTGTTCTCCTTGTAACAAAGTAGATCACAATATCTCTTGGTAGTTGTCTCTGTCTGGCAATCCATGAATTAACGCGATAAATTTTGTCTATTTGCCAGTCACACTCTGCTTTAGATTCTCCAGTAAACTGAGCAAGGGCTTCTACAAAAATCTCTCTGAGGCTTTCCTGGTTATTTTCGTTCAAGCGTCTGATCCTCACTGCCCATTCTATCGCTCTGTATTGTGTCATTATGAGTTCTGCTTCCGCCTTTTCGATCTTATTTTGAGCCTCTCCCAATTTAGCTTCCACATTCAAGTTAAACTGGTCAATTTCATCCACCCTTTCTTCCAATGATGTAACATGACCCACCAGTCCCTTAAATGCTTCAACAATATCTTATCTTATTGCATCATTTTGGGTTTGAATTGTTTCTTTAATTTCAAGCAGTTCCTCAGACACTTCTTTAATTTTTTCCTCAAAACGGAGTGTGATTTTTTCTTCCAAATCAGTAGACAGTTTCGTTAAAGCTCCTTGAAGAACTTCTAGTGTCAGTGTTTGTGTATCTGGTGGGGCTAATAAAGACTGCATTTTTGATGTTTGAGCTGGATAAGTCCCCGCACTTTTAGTCACAACAGTTTTTATTTGCTTCGCAGCCATCTCCAAACTACACTTTCCCACCAGCCACTCAACAGAACCAACAGGTCTTCTTAATCTCAGTCCTTAATAATTATTATAGCTTGTTGATAAGTCAATATTGTATTCTTTAATTTCCAATCCTCAAAATTCCCCAACAGTCTTTTAAAAGGTGCTGACAGCGTTAACGAGTGTTAATGAGCGTTAACAAGCACTTTCTCTTTTAACTTTCGGTTTCACGCCCTTAAGCAACTCAGCGCCATCTTTTTTAAGCTTTCTCCCATCTCAAGCTCCGAAGGAAGTGGTAATTTATTAGAGTTAAAGTTTAGTACTTGCAGTTGTGATTTCTCCTGTCTTTGCTCTGCCTGCTTTAAAGTCCAATCGATGTAAAATCATTTAGTTCGCAGGGGTGGTCGTGGCGCCCTGTTCTGTTTGAAACAGAAAGGTCCCGGATCCGGAGCTTCTTCAGGTGCTTGGGGAGCTCTCACCCTCCGCACCCCAGGATTAATCCTGGAGGTCTTGGGGAGCTCTACCCACACCTGCCTGCTCGCCTTCCCCTCTTCTCCCGAGGGGAAAGTTCCAAGCCACTAGAACAGCTGATTTTCGCTGCTCTAGCGGCTTTATGAGATTGCGGGGGTTAGTGTTCCCAAGGGAGCTGCCGCCAACGCCTGCAGTGCCACTGGAAGTTCGGTAGTTAAAATTTTTGAAACCCACCACTGGGGTAGGGCTTACAGGTAAAACTCGAAAAATTAGAATATCGTGCAAAACTTCATTTATTTCAGTAATGCATCTTAAAAGGTGAAACTAATATATGAGATGGACTCATTACATGCAAAGCGGGATAGTTCAAGCCTTGATTTGTCATAATTTTGATGATTATGCCTTACAGCTCATGAAAACCCCAAATTCACAATCTCAGAAAATTAGAATATTGTGAAAAGGTTCAATATTCTAGGCTCAAAGTGTCCCACTCTAATCAGCTAATTAAGCCATAAAACGTGCAAAGGTGTTTTTGAGCCTTTAAAGGCACCTGAGCCTTTAAATGTTCTCTCAGTCTGGTTCAGTAGGAATCACAATCATGGGAAAGACTGCTGACAGAAAAACATCACTGACACCCTCCATAGGGAGGGAAAGCCTCAAAAGGTGATTGCAATAGAAGTTGGATGTTCCTAAAGTGCTGTATCAAAGCACATTAATAGAAAGTTATGTGGAAGGGAAAAGTGTGGAAGAAAAAGGTGCAGAAGCAGCAGGGATGACCGCAGCCGGTTGCTCAGTGGTCCAAAGTCCTCTTTTCTGATGAGAGCAACTTTTGCATCTCATTTGGAAACCAAGGAGGAATAATGGAGAGGCACACACTGCAAGATGCTTGAAGTCCAGTGTGAAGTTTCCAGTCTGTGTTGATTTGGGAAGCCATGTCATCTGCTGGTGTTGGTCCACTGTGCTTCATTAAGTCCAGGGTCAACGCAGCTGTCTACCAGAGATTTTGGAGCATTTCATGCTTCCTTCCGCAGACGAGCTTTATGGGGATGCTGACTTCATTTTCCAGCAGGACTTGGCACCTGCCCACACTGCCAAAAGTACCAAAACCTGGTTCAATGACCATGGGATTACTGTGCTTGATTGGCCAGCAAACTCGCCTGACCTGAACCCCATAGAGAATCTATGGGGCATTGCCAAGAGAAAGATGAAAGACATGAGATCGAACAATGCAGAAGAGCTGAAGCATCCTGGTCTTCCATAAACCTCAGCAGTGCCACAGGCTGATAGCATCCATGCCACGCCGCATTGAAGCAGTAATTGATGCAAAAGGGGCCCAAACCAAGTACTGAGTACATATGCATGCTTATACTTTTCAGAGGTCTGATATTGTTCTATGTACAATCTTTGTTTTATTGATTTCATGTAATATTCTAATTTTCTGAAATTGTGAATTTGGGGTTTTCATGAGCTGTAAGCCATAATCATCAAAATTATGACAAATCAAGGCTTGAACTATCTCGCTTTGCATGTAATGAGTCCATCTCATATATTAGTTTCACCTTTTAAGTTGCATTACTGAAATAAATGAACTTTTGCACAATATTCTAATTTTTCGAGTTTCACCTGTATTTTGCAAGCAGCATGAAAAATCATGCTAGGGCTTATTTTCAGGGTAGGTCTTATATTTGGGAAAACACGGTACATACATCCACACATCAATATCTTTTCACAATATTATAAAGGGTTTCCTTCTCTACCTGGCCTCATAGTCATTGCGGATTAGCAGGAAGTGTTGCAAAATTGAGAGGAAATGTTGTTCTGCCTTAGAATCCTTTACTGTATTCAGGAGAATCTGGAAGATTTCGTTGAAATCAGTAAAAAAAATTAAGGATTCAAAAACCATTCAAAAGAAATACAGATGCACAGTGCTAATTCATAAAAGAGACCTAGTTTACTTAATTAAAACCTGATTTCTGATCACTTAGCTATCTCTCTGCTTCAGTAGGAGTTCCCACATATACCTTCAAGGATTATGCCACATTTTCTGTTCTTGTTCTGGAAGCTTAAAATATATTTCCTTAGGGAAGAATATTTTCTAGAGTATTTGTGTGTTTGTGTGTGTGTGTCTGTGTGTGTAAGTATGTACTGTATATGTACACACACACACACACACACACACACACACACACACAGAGCTTGAGAACCCTTGTCAAGTTCAGGGACTAACCAGTCCAAGCAGTCACAAGGAGTCAGCACTGACATAAGATATAACATGGTGATGTGTCAGTGCTGACTCCTCGTGACTGCCTGTTAACTTGACAAGGTTTCTCAGAAGTGGTTTGCCATTGCCTGCTGCCTAGAGCTGAGAGAACAGGATATAAATCTGACAAACTATAATCCTACTGTAACAAGAGAATCTTGGAGACAATAACAACATAAAATAACATAAAACAATAGGATTGGAAGCGACCTTGGAGGTGTTCTAGTCCAACCCACTGCTTGAACAGGAGACCCTGTAACATTCTGACAAATGATTGTCCAATCTCTTCTTAAAAACCTCCAATAATTAAACCTTCCATTAATTAATTGTTCTGTTAGGAAATTTCTACTTAATTCTAGGTTGAATCTCTCTTTAATGCTCTTCCACCCATTACTTCTTGTCCTGCCCTCACGTGCTTTAGAGAATAAGTTGACCCTCAAATACTGGAATATTGCTATCATATCATCCCTCATTCTTTGTTTTAGACTAGACAAACCTAGTTCCCACAACTGTTCATTGTATGGTTTAGCCACTAGACCCCTTATTATCTTTGTCTTATATGCTGAGTTATTGGATGAGTGAGTCATATATTTTGAAATAAAAGGATATTCCATTTCTATTCGAATGTCTTCCAAGCGGCCTCTGAGTTCTGCAGAATCCTCTTCACCATATTCTTCAAACACCTGCAGCTGTAGTTTCAGCTCCTCATTGTCTTGAGCATGCAGTTCCTGTAAAGGACACTGTCACTTCAGAGAATATCCACTAGACATTATGACCCTTTTTTATTCCAAGAAAACTTCAGATTATTTAATGATTGTTTTGTTTTCTCTCTTCCCTTTCCTTTCTCCCCTCCCTGCTCCCCCCCAATAAGAGAACTAATTTGATGAAATTACTTGAGACAAGAGAAAAGTTGATAAACACAAAACTGATGACAATGTCCCTGTCCAAACACCCAGGACATAAGAAGAGAAGCTATTGTATTATTTATATATAGACAATTCATAATTGAACACAAATTGCTCAAGGGCACAAATGACATACAGGGTAGTCCTCAACTTATGACCGCAGTTGGGACCAGAATTTCCATTTCTAAGCAAAACAGTTGATAGGTGAGTTGCACCTGATTTCACAATATTTTTACCATGTCCTTAAACAAATCACACAGCTTTTAGCAACCTAGTTTTACCAATTGACTTTACTTGTTGGAAGTCATCTGGGAAGGTCGTAAATGGTATCACATGACCTCTGGATATTGCAACCATTGTACACACATGCCAGTCAACAAGCACCCAAATTTTGGTCATGTGAACATGGTGAAACTGCTATGGTCATAAGTGTGAGGACAATTTGTAAGCAACTTTTGTTGTACCTTCAAACAGTAACTGAATGATTGTATGTTGAGGACTAGCTGTATACGGATCTTAATTAATAAAAAAAGATGTGAGGCTGAGGATACCAAGCACAGTTCTATCCTTTCCGTACAAGGGATAGGTATGTAAGAGCTTCTATGAAAAGGGCTAACAGCAGAGTTCTCATCTTCATTCAATAATCCATTACATTTCCAACCACGGAGACTACTTCATTTGCATAACTATACATTCCTTATTATTTTAGTTCTGTACCATTCTTCCTTTTGAGAATCCTAGGTAAATAAGGCAGTTATTCTTTTGAAATATGGCCAGTTATAAAAGAACACAGGTATTCCTTGACTTATGACCAATTGTTATGCCAGTTCAGAAAGACAATGGGGAAGCTGGCAGGAAAGGTTGCAAGCTGCTGCTGCCGCTTGCCAAACAATTTTTCTTAAGTTTTTTATTTTTTATAAAGATATCAAATCAAAGCATGAACAGTGTGGCATCTGGGTGTCATACATTCTAATACAAATAAAACTCTTCAGGTTAATCATAATCATTACATTCAATCCGCTTATGTATTTCTAATACACACTTGTGTTAAATTATAGTCTATCATTGTTCAATTATTTCATGTTTTCTCTTATTACTTTCATTTTATGATATAAAATGTATACACTAATATTCCCCCTTCTCTTATTTCTATCATTTATTCGAGCTTTTAATCATATCACCCTTTATTAAGAGACTTTTCCTTTCTTTCCTATCTAACTTCTAATCATGTCACCTATCTAAAAAAAGAAAGAAAAGGAAAAGAGAAAAGGAAAAGCAACTCAGAACAACAACAAACAGAAATCATCCATCCATCATCTCTTGCCCCCTTCAATACTTTAATTGCTATGCTTTAAAAGAAAAATAGGAAAAAGGAAAAGCAAATCAAAACAACAACAAAAATAATTTATCCATCATCTCTTGCCCGATTCAGTACTTTAATTGCTATGCTTTTTTTAAAACTTGCCTCCCGAATTCCTCTCTCAAATCTTTTTCTCTGTCTCTGTCTGCTTCTTGACTGTTCAATCTAGGTATTCTTCCCACCTCTATCCTCTTCCACTGCCTAATTTCTAAAATTTCTACCCAGGCCCCTGTCTTCCTTTCAAACATATCTTCCCACTCTTTTAATATATTTTCCCCCTGGTTTAATTCACCAATCACTATTATTTCCATTGTTGTCTCCTCTTTGTCATCTTCCTTCTTCATTTCTTCTGTTGACTCCTCCCTTTCCCGGGTATCTTGGTCTTTGCTCATCATCCCTCGTATGGTATTTTCCTTTTTTCCCCATAATCTCCTTAAATCCTTTCTCCATTATGTCTTTTGTATTTTGAAAAAGTAAGTCCATCTCCTTCACAATTCCACTCATTTCTTCCTTCTTAAGTATCTTGTTTTATTTTAAATTCAATTTTTATCCAGCTGTCCAAGAACTATTTATTCAATCTTTAAGTTACCCTTCAAGGAGTGCATTAGTCCCCGTTCTTTATGTCCCATAGGTTCCATTTGAGTAGTCCCAGAGGTTATCAAAAGCCCCTTTACAGATTCAATCTTCTAGTATAACGTTCAAGTGTCTCTTTAATTGAATAGCCTCCTCATTTTCATATTTGGGTCTCAGTAATCATAGGGTAGCTAGAAGTAATCCAATGGGCGTTTTCACTGTTCTCATATAGGTATTCCTAGATTTGTAATTTTTCCTTTCGTCAGCAGGTGGCACTCTCCACTTAAATTTCAATTTACTAGTCCATCATCCATTGTCATTTTGATTATAAAACAGTTATAAAAGTAGAATAAGTTTTGTAAATAAATAATTCCAGCATTTAAAATGCTTTCTCAGTACCATGTCTTCCAAATTTAGGGGTCCAATTTTCTATTTATTTCAAAATCTATTATTTTACTCTCATGCGCCTTCATTTCCGGTCAGGTATTTCCTTTGAATGCCCTAAAATGCTTAGACACCGCTTAAAATATAGTTCTGAGCAAGTAGCTCTAGATTGTTTCTTGGGGTTAAATTTAGAGCAAAAGAAAATCCTCTCCCCCAGTTCCAGTCACTGTTCACCTACTTCACTCCAATACCAGTCTTAGATGTTCATCGGTTGTCCCAATTTTGTAGCAACCATCTTTAGCTGCCTCTTCTTCTTGCCATGGCTGAGAGGGAAAAAGAACCCCAGGCCAGACAGGAGAGCTGCGACTCTCCTCGACCTCGCAGGATGTCCCTCTTTGCTTCACTGCCCCTAGGGAGGGGCTTTGGCTCCCTTCAGAGCCCACAAACAGGAAGAACTCAGCACGGGAGCGTGGAAACCCGCCCCGCATGTCCGATCCCGCTGTGACATCAACTGGAAGTCTGCCAAAAGATTTTTCTTTCCTTTCATGCATGTGGGGAGGAGGAATCCTTTGCCAGGCTGCAGAAACGAAGCCACAAAATGGAAAGGAAATCTTGCCCTGGGCTGCAGAAATGAAGCAAAGATCCAAGCTCTGTTTCTCCAGCACAAGACTTTCCTCCTGCGCAAGATGGGGAGGGGAATTCCTTCATTGACCTAGAGAAACAAAATAAGAATCCCACAGCTCTGTTCCCACACTCCACTACAGGAGTTCTCTTCTATTCACAGAGGGGAGCTGCCTGCCCTCTTTCGGCAGGCACAGTGCTTTCACTTTGTTCAACTTAAAACTAGAAGAGCTGGAAATGCACTTTTTGAGCAAGGCAATCATATGGGTGTCTTGCTGAATGACTTCGCTCAATGTGCTAGATTCCAGTGTTAATTATGGCCATAAGTCAAGAATTACCCGTAACCCCCCCCCCCAAAATAATGTTGAAGTATAATTAACCCTATCAAATCACTTACACTTTAAACAGAGTCTTAAGATTATAGGTATTATCTTTCCCAATATAGCAAAGTTATCACAGTAGAAAGGAGATATATTTCTAACCTTGAGGATTTCCTGCAGTCCAGAGCGCATTAATTCACTGCGGATGTGCACTCTGAAGTCAAGCTCATCTGATGGGATGATTAGAGCATTGATCAACTGTAAACAAGCTACCTAAGAAAGTCAAAGAAAAAATATGTGTTGGATCAACAAATTCTTTTCCTTCATTCATTATAAGCTAGCTAATTTGTCAGAACAACTATGAAAAACTGCCAGACAAAATATTTTTTTCCACCAAATTTTATCACAGCAAAGCAACCTAAAAGTGAAATTCAGGTAAACAGTACAAATAGTGTTGAGAAAAAACAAAAACAAGTAAGGAATCAACACTGATAGTTGGAATTCTGAAATCTCATAGATTAAAAACAACACAAGAAACCAAATGAAAAGAACATGTTTCAATTAAACACCAGACAATGATTTGAAGGCAACCCAGCTCATATTCTAAGTCTACTCCAGAACAGAAATCTTCTCTATAAAAGTAATTGATTAATACTTATTGCCAATGGTGTCTCTTGTTCCTATTATATATATGCAGGGAATCGAGTAACCTTGGAATAATATACCTAGAGCAACTTGAAAAGACTTCTCCCTCCTTTTCTATCTCAAAACCAGAATGTAGAATTTTAGACTCACAATGCTTACAAAATGCTTTATAATTAATAAGATAGCTAATATGCTCTTCTAGGGTTTGTTAAGCTAATCAAACCATCTTCCTATTACCTTATTCTAAACAAATTGCCTGATTGCTACCTTGGGCTGGTTCTGAAGATATACAAAAAGAATTTCAGGATAAAAATCCATTGAGAAATCAAGTGTACTCAGTAATGGTGAAATGAAAGAGAAAACAAAAGGCACTAGAATATTATGAAAGATAAGATAGATAGACTGTTATATTCTTTTTCCAGCTTCCTATTACCTTTAATGCCACTGAAGTTCCACTTTTCAGGCCATCCACAATGGGTTTAAATCGTTCTACTTCAACCATTTCTGCACGTTCAGTCAATGCTCCCAAAACTTGCTCATGCCTAACAAAAAATAAAGGAATCACAAAAAATAGAAAGAAAAAAGGAAGAAAAAGGAGGGAAATAAAAACCAGCTTTTATCATTGTTAGATACCAAGTCTGCATTTTTTTTAAAAAAATCTTATTTTGACGTGGCATTTTAAAGATCCAATATTAAAATTTAGGATGCCAATCAAATCCTTCTGAATTTGAATGTATCAAATTTAGACTCAATTGTACAACTGGGATGTACTCACAGATTATATCTGGCATTTGATGTTTTTGTAAAGGGTACAAATAATTAATCATCAAGTTTATTAAATTCAAAGTTTGCTCACAGCTGCCAGTGTTTTTATTAATTTTTTATTGTCTTCCTTCAGCAGGCAATGTACTGTACCCCCTAGAACATAGACTCAAAACCACTGCTCAACTCAGGAAAACTTACAGTATCCTGGTCAAGTGGTTGTCCAGTCTATTTTTGAAAACCTCCAGTGACGGAACACCCACAGCCACTGAGGCAAGCTATTCCACTGATTAATTGCTCTGTCATAAATTTTTTCCTTACTTTTAGGTTGGATCTCTCTTTAACAAGCTTCCAGCCATTACTTTCTGTCCTGCCCTCAGGTGCTTTGGAGATTAAGTCAGTCCTTCAAGTACTTGGAAGACAGCTATCATGTTCCCCCGCATCTTTCATTTTGACAGGCTAAATCCCTCAGCCATTTCTCATACAGTTTAGCCTCCAGACGTATTATCTTTGTTGTCTTCTCTGCACACTTTTGAAGGTCTCAGCATCTTTTTTCTATCATGGTGACCAGAACTGTACCAGTATTCTATTTGTGAACTTACCAGTATAGTATTATACTATTATAGTATTACCAGTACTAAAATCTCTCGTGATGTTGATGCTATCCTGCCAAAACTTTGCTGGCTCATATTTAAGTGGTGATCCATAGGGTTACGGTTAGGGTTAGTCAGTGCCAACTTACCCAGAGGGAGACACGATCGCGTTGTGTGCAACTAGAGTGGGCGGGAGGAAGCCCTGGAAAGGCAGCGTTAGGCGCTGCTAGGGCTGGAGAGGAGGGCATCAGAGGGCAACACAATGGCGCTGCCGCTTGCTCTTTTCGCTTCGCTTTCAAAGATGCACCTGCCCTCCTGCCACTGTTCCCCTCTTGCGACAGAGTGGGCAGTGTGGCCCTCCGCTTTGCTAGACCTAGTCAGCTTGTGCTGAGCACTGCCTTCTTCAGGGGTTGCTGCTGAAAGCGAAGAGAGCTAGGTAGGTAGGTAGGGAAGGAGGGAGAGGGAGAGAGAGAGAGAGAGAGAGAGAGAGAGACAGAGACAGAGACAGAGACAGAGAGACAGAGACAGAGACAGAGACAGCGAGACAGATAGATATGGGGTAAGAGGCTGCGTGATTTATTTTCTTTCTCTCTCCTCGCTGTCTGCCCCGTTTAATGATCTGATTAGACTAGAGTGATCAAAGCTATTATCAGATGAATGCACAGTGTCTCGATTGTCAAAATGCAAACCAGTTTGAAACTACAACACGTTGTAGTATCTCAGAAATTGCCAAGCACCAGCTTCTTGCCAGATTCTCAGTCCATCCTTCTCCCAATTAGCATAGACATCATAAAATGCTCAAAGTATTAACAAAATTAAGTATGAGTTTCTGGTGAATTTCTTACAAGGATCCTTACCTTCCAGCCTGCAGGGCTTGCAAAGCTCTGCTCACCGTGGCTGGAAATGCAGGCTGGGGGAGGGGGCCAAGAAGAAGGGGAGAAGGGGAAAAAAACACCTTGCCCCAAGCACGCTGCACTTCCCCTTTGCCCGAATCTGTCTGCAAGCCTGAAGCTGTGAGGAGGATCCTCACCCACTTTCTATGTAGTCAACGTTATTTTGAAACAGTGGCAGGTCTGGCTTGGGGGGAGGGGTTGGGGGAGACTCTGAAGTGAGCTGGGGGTTTGTGTGTGTCTGTGTGTGTTCTCTCTTTCTTCCTCTCCCTCCTTTTTTGTTCGTGAGAAATCTCTGTTTTAGTTACAGTCTTAATTGATGCAGTTCTCAGTCTGGTTTATTGTGTGGTCATCTGAAACATATGATCAGGAGTTATTTTGAAGGAAATCCTGTTTGTTTTATTCTTTTTTTAATGGCCTATTTTAAGGAACTTGAAGCTGCTGTTGTAATAAAGTTAGGCAAATGGCAAGAAAGTTTGCGCTCTTTTTCCCTTCGGGGAGGGGGGGTCTTATTAAATAAATAGATGCCTTTGAGCAAGTACAGCTAAGAAAGGACAAAGGCAAAATGGACTGCTAAATTGGCCCCACCCACCCAGTCACATGACTATCTAGCCACGCCCACCCTGCCGGTCATTAGACAGATAAGACTATAGTCCGCCCCCCCAACAGTCTGAGGAATTGGTCCCGTTTAAAAAGTTTGAAGACCCCTGTTCCAAAGTATTAGCAATTCCCTCCAGCAAATCTGATGACTTCCTTTTCTATCCCTCATCTAGATCATTTAGGAAGATGATGAAGAGTACTGGGTCCAAGACAGAACTTTGAAGTATCTAATGAATACTTCTCTCCATGTAAATATAGTTCCATTAACTAAATGTTTAAATAAAAAATTAAACTTTCATTTCTTCATTACAAAAGGCTCAATTAATAAATTATTACCTTTTAGGGATATAAACTGAAAACATGTGAAATCTCTTTGAGTCCTTGTAGCACACACTTCATTTTTCTCTCATTATTACATTTTTCTGTTTTATTTTCTTGAAGAGGGAAAAATACTGCCTTCCTAAATATAGCTACATATTTTATTTCTCTTCATATATCAAAAATGTTTTGAACAAAATTGTGCAAAAGTGATGGGCGAGGAATCTAATTGATGTTACAAAAAATATTTTACTTGAATTAACCATTCATAACAAGTAAAAGTTAGGAAGATATGTAAACAGAAGTAAATTTGTGAAACTAACTTTGCTGTTTCTTCATCTCTTGCCATAACTTCCATTTATGTTCTGAAAAGCTATAGGTGTAAAACTTCCTTAAGAAACATGGGATAAGGGTAATGGCTTCAGGAAGAGAAGGAAGAGCATATTGCTTCAACTTTTTTTTCCTTGGGATATTCAGAACTCATCTATTGCACCAATTATGTGCTTATTAGGAGGCATAACTGATAAAGAAACCATATTTTAATATATTTTTCCAAACATTTAAATCAGTAAACTAACCCATTCTTCTACAGCATACAACTGAACCAAAACATAAACTACTCATTGTCACATACATATCCACAGGCTGAGGCAGGATGCAGAGAGCAGAGAGTAGCTTGATAGTGTCAATCATCATTGTAGGGACTTTAGGATCAACTGCTTTTGCCAAAAGTAGAATCCCATCATCTGTTTCAAGCATTGTCTTAATTCCAAACTAAAAAGTAAAAATCAATATACCCTCGGGTGAATAATTTAGATTATAGAAATAATACTCATGACACAAAATGATGCAAATCTAACAAAAACATTACATTAGATGTTCAGAAAACAAGAGAAAGGGAATATGTTCCCATTACTTTGCTGGTTTTGCGCATGTTTTTTATTCCCCTGCTTGGGGGAATAAAAACAACTTCTAAAACACAGCTGATCTTTGGAGAGAGAAGCAATGAGAAAAGAAGGCGAAGCTCAGAAGATCGCTTCACTAGATCGCTAGCGCCTTGTTAGGGCTGAAAAAAGCTTCTCATGCACACGTGAGAGTCGGAGGAAGCAGGCAAAGCAGAGAGATCACTTCACTCGCTAGCGCCTTGTTAGGGCTGAAAAAAGCTTCTAAAGCACAGCTGAGAGTCAGAGGGAGCAGGCAAAGCTTGGAAGATTTCTTCCTAGCGCCTCGTTAGAGATGAAATTTTTTTTGAAAAAGCTACATTCGGAGTATAAGACGCACCCAAATTTTCAGCCTCTTTTAGGGGGAAAAAGTGTGTCTTATACTCTGAAAAATATGGTAATAGGGGACTTACTTTGTTGTTCATAAAAGCTTTTAAGCATCTAATAATTTCATGTTCAATCCTGAAGTCATATGACCTGGTAAAAACAAGAAACAAAACTGAAATAATAATTATACACACAGAATTATCTATTTATACAATTGGCCTTCCATCCCAGAACATTAAAAAAAACATGCAACACCATAAGAAATTATAGCAGAGTGATCCTAACTATATCAAAATTCAGTAGAGGAGTCAGGGAAAGATATGACAGGATAAGAATACTACGCAGAAGACAAATTCCATTATACACAATCTTATGGATCCATACATCCATTCAAAAAAGCACAACAAAGAATGTTCTTTCTGTGCCAACTCAGAAAGCTCAAACTGCCCAAGGAGCTGCTGATACAGTTCTACAGAGGAATTATTGAGTCTGTCATTGGCACCTCTATAACTGTCTGGTTTGGTTCTACAATCCAACAAGACAGACACAGACTTCAGAGGATAATTAGAACTGCAGAAAAAACAATTACTACCAACCTGCCTTCCATTGAGGACCTATATACTGCACGAGTCAAAAAAAGGGCTGTGAAAATATTTACAGACCCCTCGCATCCTGGACATAAACTGTTTCAACTTCAAAATGACACTATAGAGCACTGCACACCAGAACAACTAGACACAAGAACAGTTTTTTCTCGAACGCCATCACTCTGCTAAACAAATAATTCCCTCAACACTGTCAAGTTACTAAGTCTGCATTACTATTAATCTTCTCATCGTTCCTATCACCATCTCCTCCCACTTATGACTGTATGACTGTAACCTTTTGCTGGTATCCTTACGATTTATATTGACTGTTTCCTAATATGATTTGATTGCTTATCTGTTCCCTATGACTATCATTAAGTGTTTTACCATATCTGAGGTGGCGCGATGGTTAAAGTGCACTACTGCAGGCTACTTCAGCTGACTGCTAGCTGCAGTTCAGCAGATCAAATCTCATTGGCTCAAGGTTGACTCAGCCTTCCATCCTTCCGAGGTAGGTAAAATGAGAACCCAGATTGTTGGGGGCAATATGCTTACTCTAAACCACTTAGAGAGGGCTGTAAAAGCACTATGAAGCGGTATATAAGTCTAAGTGTTATTGCTATTGCTACTCTTGACGAATGTATCTTTTCTTTTATGTACACTGAGAGCATATGCACCAAGACAAATTTCTTGTATGTCCAATCATACTTGGCCAATAAAGAATTCTATTCTGTTCTGTTCTGTTCTGTTCTGCTCCTATTCCTATTTCCTATTCTATTCTCCTTATCCTATCCAGATGTCCTTATTTTTCTCCTTTAATTTTTGTATACCCAAATAAAACACACAATTAAAACATATTTCCAGCATGCAAATATGATCTTATCCATCCACCCATCTGTATTTAAAGTTATATTCATTCAACCTTCCAACCTATCTACTTTATGAAAGCCAGTGTATTTAAAGTCCTGGAATAGGTATGGAGACCCAGGTTCTAGACCTCCTTTAGGCACAGAAATTCACTTGGTGATTTTGGGCCAATAACACCCTCTCAGCCCTACACTTCTGAGAAGTCAAAAAACATCTCTCTACCAACCAGCATGGTAGATTACAATCCATATAATTTGTGTATAATCCGTATATACAAATGAGGCAGAATGTGTGGGCGTATACACAAATTTATCCAGATGCATATGTGTGTGCAAGCATTCCATCTAGGGGGATTGTGAATTAAGCATATTCTATCTATATTATACTATATTAAGTTTATTATCTATACTAGTTTAAATAAATACATATAAAAATCTATCCATATACAAATGGATAGATTTTATCATCATTTTACCACAATTTAAACTATTTTAATTCAAATGCTCCTTACCCAGAAAACTCATCCTTCTCATCATGAAGACCTTTCAATATGTCCAGCAGGCAATTCAGACCTTCAGCTCCAAAATTTTGCACCCAGCTGCAATTGTTGCAGAATAAAACACATTATTACCTAAATAAAATAATTACCACTTCATCTTCTCATTGCACTGGCGATTGCATAAAGGTAGTCCTTGACTTGCAACCACAATTGGGACCGGAATTTCCATTGTAAACTGCTGTGGTCATAAGTCGATCTGGACCTGATTACCATATTTTTCAGAGTATAACTTGCACCGGACTATAAGATGTACCTAACTTTTTTGGTGAGGAAAACAAGAAAAAGAAATTTGCCTCTGCCTCTGCCTCTGCCTCCCAGCAATTTTGCCTCGTTACAGCAAACAGCAAATAGTCTACTTTTCTTTCATTTTCAGCATAGCTTGATTAGCACAAGAAAAAAAAATCTGCTCCAGCAATTTACCTCTTTGCAGCAAGCAGCAGAGGCCCGGGCAAAGCAGCTGAGAGCAAAACAGCTGAGAGTCGGGAGGCCGATCCAATCAACTTGTGCTAATTAGGCTGTGCGGAAGCTGAAAGGAGCTGTTTCTTCTTGCTGCTTGCAGCAAGGAGGTAATTGCTGGGAGGCAGAGGCCAAAGGGTGTAGGGCCAGTGTGTGGGCGGGGCTACATTCGGTGTATAAGACACACCTAAATTTTCACCCCCTTTTAGGGGGGAAAAGGTGCATCTTATACTCCGAAAAATACGGTAAACACATTTTTTATGGTGGTCATTAATCAAAGCATTATAATTGTTAATTAAATCATGCAGTTGTTAAGTGAATCCAGCTTCTCTAATGAGTTGTTTTTATGCCAGAAATTAGCAAAAAGGATCGCAAATCACAATCACATGACCACAGAGTGCTGCACCCAGTAGCTGGATAAGATGTGCCCAAATTGTGATCATGTGACTGTGGGGGAGGTGCAACCATCATAAGTGTGAGTACAGGTCATAAGTCACTTTTTCTGAGGCCATCATAACTCTACACAGTCGTTAAATGAACAGTTTTAAGTCGAGGACTACCTCTACATCTGTCTCCAGACATGCATCATGCCCACAAATTTTAAACTTTGCAGTATTTAGCAATCAAGAAAGTTTTATCTGAACCATTACCTGACAGGATTGTTATTGAGTGACACACGTAGAGACTCTAAACATCCAAGAAGCTGTGCATCTTTAAGACCAGATTTTAGTTCCTGAATATACATAATAGGAGACTTCGAGCTCTCCTTTTGACTCATGCCCTACAAACGAAAAAATAATGATAAATGTATGTCCATTATTTCTAAATTAAATACTGTATGTCTCAACAGCCCAGAATAAAACTCTTTAATTGATTTTTTCTCTAATACTCAACAGATGAATACAACGAAGTTTCAGTTTTTAAAAATGGTTCAATTGGATATTGTTGAGCTATATCCAATTACATTCCAGAATTATATTCCTTTTCTATTTGCTATAATTTAGGGCTATTTATTATTCAGTATTTGAATACTGACTTTCTACTATTTTCTCCATCCTAAAAAGTTTTATTATTATTATTATTATACTTCATTCCAAAAATATATTAGAATATAGCTGGCAATACATTGCATGTTTACCTTATAATTATAATTCACAATAGAAATTTGTTACTCAGATTTTCTTGTAAAAATGTCAGTCTAGGATTGATTTCAGGAACGTGGAATCGGTTATTACTGTTTAATATGTACATTTCTTGTCCAGCAAGTACTCAAGAAGACAAAAACAAGTAGAAAATAGAAAAGATGCAGTTTGGAGAATTCTTTACACAATCTATTAGGGCAATCTATCAGAGACAAACAGCACAAATAATAATTAATGGTGGTTTAACAGAAACTTTTAAAATTGAAAAAGGAACAAGACAGGATTGCCCTTTATCACCATTATTGTTTATTTTAACTTTGGAACCTTTATTGAATAAAATACGAGGGTCAAATAAAATAAAGGGAATTAAAATTAGACATCATGATTATAGATTAAGAGCATTCGCAGATGACTTGGTTGTTACTTTAACTCAACCAGTACAATCAGTTATAGGTTTAATGGATATAATTAGCCAATATGGACAAATGTCTGGATTTAAAATAAATAAACAGAAAACAAAGATAATAACTAAAAATATGACGGTAAAGCAAAAAGAAGAACTAGAAAGACTAACAGGATTTGAAATAGTAAAAAAGGTTAAATATTTAGGGGTATATATTACAGCTTCAAATGTAAAATTATATAAAAATAATTATGAATTGTTATGGCAAAAAATACAAAAAGAGATGGAGAATTGGGAAAAATTACAATTATCTCTGCTGGGAAGAATAGCAGCAATAAAAATGAATGTTTTACCTAGGTTTTTATTTTTGTTTCAAATGATACCAATACTCAAGAAAGATGAAAATTTGAGGGAATGGCAGAAGGGTATTAATAATTTTGTTAGGGCAGGGAAAAGACTGAGAATAAAGTTAAAAATAATGCAAGATATATGTGAAAGAGGAGGTCTTAAAATGCCTAATCTAAGATTATACTATGATGCAGCTGTCCTAACAATAATTAGTGACTGGATTAATTCAACAGAAGAAAGAATATTGAATATTGAAGGATATGATTTGTTATATGGCTGGCATGCTTATTTATTATATGATAAAAAGGTGGATAAGACCTTTAAAAGCCATATACTAAGGAATGCCTTGTTACGAGTTTGGAAAAAGTATCAATATAAGTTAAATTATAAGATACCTATATGGGCAATACCCAGACATGCAATAGAGAATATAAATATAGAACAAAAGCAAGAGGTGATTACCTATAAAGAGCTTCGTAAAATGGAAGGGGGTATATTGCAGTTAAAATCTTTAAACGCATTAAAAGAAGAAAGAATAATTCAAACCTGGTTTCAGTATGGTCAGTTGCAAGCTAGATGGAGAGAAGATCAGAGAATTGGTATCATGCAGAACGAGGAAAATTTGGTAAAACAAATTAGAGATCAAGGTCAAATGCATATAAAAAGATTATATAATATACTGATAGAAATAGATTCAGAAACGGAGTTAGTTAAGGATTGTATGATAAAATGGGCACAAAACATTCAGGAACCAATAATGATGGAAACTTGGGAAAAATATGGGTTAGAAATGTAAAATTTACGCAAGCACAAAATTTAAGAGAAAATTTTTATAAAATGTTCTATAGACGGCATTTAGATCCTAAAAAGTTGGTTTGTATGTATCCAAATTTGCAATCTAAGTGTTGGAGATGTGATTGTGATGATGCCACTTATTATCATATATGGTGGACTTGTAAAAAAGTTAAAGCATTTTGGATTAAAATTTGGTGGATTATTCAAAATATTCTTAAAAAGAAGATAAAGTTTACTCCACAATTGTTTCTGCTGGGTATAATCACGGATTGTACGGTTATAGAGACTAAATTGATTTTAAATTTAATAACTGCAGCTAGACTTTTGGTGGCGCAATATTGGAAGAAGGAAGATTTGCCTACTATTGAAGAATGGACATTAAAAGTAGCGAATTTGGCAGAAATGGCGAAAATCTCAGCATATTTGAAAGATCATTCACAAGAAAGATATATATCCGAATGGAGAAAATGAATTGATTATATTCAAAACAAATATCGGACTAAAAAGTATCAAATAGCTTATGAATGAATAGAAAAATTAAGAGTATTTATATTTAGTTAAGTAAAAGGGGAGTTAAAGTGTGAAGGGGGGATAGGAATCCATAGTTAGTTAGCTTAGTTTAATATGATTATTAATTGTTATACCCTGTATTTTGTTCTGGGAAGTTCGGGGGGGGAGGTTGGGGGGGGTAAGGAAGGGAGGGGGGAGGGGGAAATATCCGTAAAAAAAAATTTTTTTTGTAAAACTCTTTAATAAAAAAAAAAAAACAAGTGAGACTTGTTAAGTTAGACTAAAACAAAAAATGGAATATAAACTTATTATAAATTGAGTTTAATAATAAAATATTAAAATCAATTAACAATTAAAAGCTTGGCAAAAAAGATGGGATTTACAAATGTTCTAAATAGGATAGTAGGATCCAAATATTTATCTTAACAGGAAAGAGTGTTACTTAGGTAGTCAGCATCAAGCTACTTAAGACTTTAAATTGAGCTCTCAAAATATGTTCAGTAAACTGCCAGCAACCAATTTTTCAGTAGAAGTACTGCATAGTTTCTGCACCTTGTACTTCTTAACAGCCTATACTGCCTAGCTTATACACCAACTGAAATTTCCAAAAATTTACAAGGGTACTCACCAGTGATGGGTTTCAACTGGTGTTACCACTGGTTTGCTTTGTGCATGCGATTTGCGTGTGATCCACATGCGCAAACGTGGATCCACGTCCACACCAAATGGATGTTCCACTCTTACTTCTTGTCCTGCTCTCAGGTTCTTTGGGGAATAGGTCAAAAAACCCTCTTCTCTGTAACAGCCCCTAACCCTAACCTTTAGTCCTTCTCTTCGCTAGACTAGACATACCTAGTTCCCTAAATGATTCATCATATGGTTTAGCCTCCAGATCCCTTATACAGGTAGTCCTCGAATTACAAATGTAATGGAGCCTGCCCATACTTTGAACGTGATCACTCTCTCCTTTCACCCACGCATCCACTAATCAAATGCGAGCCTCGTTAAGTGCATATGAGATATCTTGGGGTGGGGAAGGCCATTGGGAGGGACTTAGTGATGGAACAGGCCACCCAAGGCCTCCCCCAACCCACTGAAATACCTCATGCTCCCCACAATTGTTTCTTTCCCCTCCAAACCTGCCGTGCCGGGTCACTTACCTTGTGAAGATCTGTCTCCACTCCAGCGTTTGTTTCTTTGCCTGCTCCTGGCCAGCAGCGAGAGCAGAGGGAGAGGAGGACAAGCACGCCCTGCTCGGATTCTCTGATCACTGAACTTGCCTGCCATTTTTGGAGTGGTGGGTAGTCTCAGTGACTCTCCTCCAAAGGCTTCCAAGTTCCATGCGGAAAACCATTTGCACAAAGTGAGGCTTTGGGGCAGCAAACTCGCATTGCTCCAAGCACCTCATTAGCGTGCAATCACTTTTTCCACAGAGACTGGAACCTTCTGGGTGCCCTGATTCTGTGGGACGTCAGGCACCCATTCTCTACAAAAGTAGATGGGTGCCTGAACTCATGCGAGACCATGCACCCCCAACATTTCCAGTCTTCGTCTGGGTTAAACGTGTTTGAGCGGCCCTGGGGATGTTGGAGGGAATTGCTTTTCGCTCCGTTTCCAACTGCCCTAGACTGCTCAAACACTTATCACTCTGATGGAGACTGCAAACTTTGTCTGCATGGAAGCGGGGAGCTTGAAAATGGAGCTTTTCACTTCATTTCCAACCACCCCATTTCCATGCAGACAAAGTTTCTAGTCTCTGTTAGAGTGACAAGTGTTTGAGCAGCCCTGGAGCAGTTGGAAACGGAGCGAAAAGCTCCGTTTTCAAATGTCCCATTTCTATGCAGACGAAGTTTGGAGTCTCCGTCAGGTCTCATCAAGGCACCAAGTGTTTGAGCTACCCTGGGGCAGTTGGTAACGGAGCAAATCGCTCCGTTTCCAACCGCCCGAGGGTCACTCAAACACTTGGTGTCCTGACAGAGACTGGAAACGTCATCTGCATGGACCTGGGGCGGTTGGAAATGGACACTATTCGCTCCATTTCCAACTGCCCCTTTTGCATGCAGAAGAAATCTCCAGTCTCTGTCAGGTCTCGTCAGGGTGCCAAGTGTTTGAGCGACCCTGGGACAGTTGGAAACAAAGCAGATCACTCTGTTTCCCACTGCCCCAGGGTCGCTGAAACACTTGGTGCCCTGACGGAAACTTTGTCTGCATGGAAATGGGGCACTTGAAAAGGGACCTTCTCTTCAGCAGAGGCCTTGAGGAGAGGCCTGTCCTGGCAAAAACAGAGCTTCAGAGCAGCGCACATTCCCTCTGGGAGGGAGCAAAGGCTTTTTGCAAAGATTGCAAAAGGCGTTGGAAACAGAGGGAAAGCTTCAATGTTTCAGGCCTTCCCACCATTTGCAGAGCCTTTTGCTGCAGCTCTCATCCAGGCCTCAGTTTGCAGAGAACAGAGGCCTAAAGTACGTGAGATCACACGAGATCAATAGTGTGAGTTCTCATGCTACTGAACTAGTGTGATCTTGCAGTAATTTAGGCCTCCATTCTCCGCATACTCACCAAAGGCCTGAAGTGCCAAAACAGGCC